CACAACTATGTCTCCTACATATTTAAGAGAGTCCTTTTTTTGAAGGGCTACCCCATCGATGTCCAACTGAAATATAAATGAAAGAAAGGACACCTGATCTTGGGGGGAAATCCTTTTTTAAGCTGATGTAAATATACAATTATTTTTTAAAAAATAAAGAATAAATAAACTTCCAGGCTTGTGATCAACAGAGGTGGCTAAGGGATTCTAGGAACTGTAGTCCAAACAAACTCTTCTAACTTTTCTAACCTTTAGGCAACAGACTGAGCAGCACTTACAGAAGCCACTTCATCATAGTTCTTCCCATTATGCTTAAATATATTAAGCTTATATTTCAGGGATGGTGGGAATTATTTCTAAATGTGCATTTCTATATGACTCTGTCATTGCATCCTTTTCAGTGATGCACACCTGTTTTTTAGAGATGCATAAAGTGGACACCTCATTATGTATAGGAAATGTCCTCAACAGATGCAATGCCATGCTTAGATTTGCTTAATTATTTAAAAAGAAAAGGAGGAAAATAAACAAGATGGAAGAGATGGATCAGCATATCCTTCCGTACTGTGCTGTGGACATACTATATCCAGTTTTGGCCACTGTTGGAGACAGGAGACTGGATCAGATAAAGCGCTGGGGCAACCAAAATGGTCTACACCTTCCACTCTTGAAATATCTGGAGTTGGTTATTCTTAGCCTTCCAGGAAAAATCTACCCCAGGTATGTTCTATAAAAGGAATTCATTGTGATTTCTTTGTTTTCTCCAACATCACTTCCCTTAATATGCCACGTATAAAGCACAGTAAGGAATTTGGAATATGGAGAAAAGTGAAATACGCTGTCCACAAACCTCTTAATAATACAGGAAGTTGACATTGCTTTACTGATAAAAGCCATATTCTAAAAATGAAAACTCAGAGTCTGTACTCAGTGCAAAAAAAGGACAAAAGGCAGGATGTGATTAAAGTGTGATAAAACAGCTGTATAAAACAATAGCCAAAGCTAACGTCTCCAGAAGGTGGAAAAATTAATGAGAACCATAACAGAGCAAAGATGAAATTTCACACCAAACTAAAGAAAATAGAGCTTCAGTAGGGCAACTGTTTGCCTGATTCCTTCTCCTGTTATCGCCAAAACCCTTCTTTAAGCTCATTTGTTAAAATAGTGCTTATTTTATGGAATATATAAAGTACCTGCATAAAAACAATATTCACAATCATAAACAAACATCAAATATAAGTGTTACAACCTTCTCACTTCATTTAGAAACAATGATTAAAATCTGCCTCTAATTTATTTGACATGAAGAAATACCACAATGGTGATAGAAAAAAAAACTTATGTCTCTTCACTTTGAAGAACAAGATCTTAGTAGGATGAAGAAGTCTATCAGGTATGCAACACGGGGGTGGGGGGGAAAGCCAGCTAAAATAACTTTACCAAATAATTTGTACTCCTAAGAGCCATGCAGGTTTATGTTTTTGCACAATTTCCAAACTTCCCCGTGCTGCCTTGGGAATTCTGGGAGTTGTAGTCCCATTAACCATGAATCTGCACAGCTATGAATGGAATAGATGTTGTTTTACTATACCAACTGGAATTTATTAACGATAATCGTTATGGAAATGCATGTGCTGCTCGTGGTCTTTCTGCAATTATCCAAACAGGATATTGGGTAATTGGCATGTTGTTTTCCAGTGTGGCTTGTCCTATGTTTCTATTTATGTACGTATACATTGAACTAGCAACAATCTGGTGTAGTTTACCTCCAATAGGAGGTCCTCAGTTCAGGAATCCAGACAGCCATGCCCCCCTTCAAGATACTATAAGCTGTAAGAGCAAGGCATTCATTCTCTCAGTTTTTATCACTCTCCACCCCACCCCACCCTCACACTTAATAATCTGTGGTAAATTAGTATAGACAATCTTCAGTTGTTTGAGGTGTTTTTTGGGGGTGTGTGGCACTATTCCCCTATGTTTTTAAATATTTTTTGTATTTTATAAAACTTTTGTGTTCCCCAGGCAAGATAATACCTTCCTCTTATGCTTGAAGGTTAAAGTAGCTTAGCACATTTTAAAAAGAGGTGAAGGATAGCTATGATGTCTGTTTAATAGCATATGCTTTTCTTCAACAATGGACCTCACATGTAGCATTCTTTACTTTGCTTTCAGGCACTGGAAGTTAATTTCAGTCTGATCACTGAGGTATAAGGCACATATTTCAAAACAAATCCTTTTATAGGAGGGAAAATGAATTAAAGGGAAAACATTTACCTTTCCCTTAATGTCTAGTTTGACCTTCAGTGACCCTATTTTAGATTCATTTCTCTTGACACTTTCTGCTAAAGTTTGCTTTTAAAAGGAATAATATGTGCATTTACGTATATTCCCAGTTTTCTTGCAAGCCACTTACAGTTTTCCCAATATTTTCACAGTATCATATTTATGTAGCTAGTAGTTGTGTACATTTTAGAGCAGAGCCATTTGATAGGTGTACGTATTATGATTGTAGACTCTACAATGTTGAACACTGTGTTACGATTTGTTAGCTGCTCCTGCTACATAAACAATTCAAATACACTTAATCAAGGCGAAAACTCCCAAGAACATCTACACATTGAAAAAGATATTATATACGTTGTAAATATCACAATGGGTTGGATTCGGAAATGAGGGGGCTTCTGCTAGAGGATGGGGCTCTTCTGTCTCCCCCACCACTACAGCCACATACACTCTCACAAAAACTACTTCTGAGAATCAAGGCCCCCCCTGGAATAGCATCTGCTGGGAATGGCTGCAGCAGCCGGTTAGGGATATGGGTAGAATTTGGGGAAACCACCATTTGCATGAGATGATTTAGGATCCAAGCCAATCTGTTTTAAAAACAAAGGATAAAAATGAATAGAAATCAAAGAAATATAGAGGATCCCAAATAACACCAAAATATCTTTTAAATACTTTTTATACTAGTTGTGCACTAAAAATCAGTACTGATCTCTGGGGCATGTATAAAATTATACCTGACATTTGGAATGTGTGGTGCACTATATGGAATACACTGACAAATACACAGAAATTAATGTAACAATGACGTGACAAATAGAAACCACATTGTGATTACATAATTGGACTAGCCCAAGGAGTATTAATTTACGGCCCTTCACTTATTACAAAGCAAAAATGTGATGAGCCATAGCTCAGCAATTCAGCACCTGCTTTGCATGCAAAAGGAAGGTACCAGCTCTAATCTCCAGGATATTTCCCCCTCTCCTATCTCATGAATGAGTCACCCTATAGTAAATGTAAAGGTAAAGGTTCCCCTTGACATTTAGTCCAGTCGTGTCCGCCTCTAGGGCGTGGTGCTCATCCCCATCTCCAAGCCATATAGAGCCAGCGTTTTGTCCATAGACAGTTTCCGTGGTCACGTGGCCAGTGCGACTAGACACTGAATGTCATTACCTTCCCACCGTGGTGGTACCTATTTATTTAGCCGTATTTGCATGCTTTTGAACTGCTAGGTTGGCAGGAGCTGGGACACGTGGATTCGATCTTGCAACTGCTGGTCTTCGACCTTGCAGCACAGAAGCTTCTGTGGTTTAACCCGCAGCGCCACCACATCCCTACCCTATAATAGAACAGGTTAATAGTTGTAGGAGAACTAGCAAGGAGATTCATTCCCCATTACAGATAACTACTGAGCTAGATGGAGCAGTCCTCTCCTATTACAAGCTGCTTCATATGCTCATGTCAACTGAGCAGTTTTAGCATAGATGAATCCTGTACATAGATATCATTCTGAGCCTATATTCAAAGTAGGTTTCCAGATCACTTAAAGAAATTATTGCAGAAACCCCATGCCAGTGGTCACTGGAGTGATTTTTAAAATATGAAAGAAGACATTTTTTTCAAATTGTTTAGTTAAAGAAACTCTTAACTTTTAAAGTAGGGTTTACTGACTTCTGGCACCCAGATGTTCTTAGACTGAAGCTCCCATCATCCCCTACCATTGGCTATACATTTGAAGACCGATGAAAATTGCAATCCAGTAATACATGTTAGGTCACAAATTACTCAGAATACAGTAATGCTATGCATATTTATTCAGAACTCGTTCTACCGCTGTATCCAGTGCAGTTTCCTCCCAGTCAAGGTTAACTTCACTAGTAGGTCAAGTGAGGCAGTTGTTTCAGGCGGCAGTTGTTGAAAAGTAACATCAATTAGTTGGAAGAAGAAGTTGTATGACACACACACACACCACTTGTCCTGTGCTCCCTTAGCCAGTCTTCTGCCTTCAGGTGCAGTAGAGCAGTAGTTCCCAACCTTGGGTCCCCAGATATTCTTGGGTTGCAACACCCAGAAATCCTTGCCAGCATAGCGATTGCTGTAGGCTTCTGGAAATTTTAGTCCAAGAACATCTGGGGACCCAAGGTTGGGAACTACTGTAGATGATGATGTCCATTTGTTCATGTCAAATAGAAAGGACCCAACTCAGCACATACAGTATCACTTTCTGAACAGGCAATGAGAGTGGGCACCATCTTATTTACCTCAGATAGCAAAATATCTTGGGGCAGTATTTCTCCTAGATGATTGTATAAACAAGAAAGCTGTTTAATCTGTATAAATAAGCAGTTAGTGTTTCTCCTATCCTCAGAGAGTGAAGGGGAAGGAGAGGTATTGCTGATAGTTCTTCTATATGTATAGGGTTATTCTCGCCCCCCACTCTATCTGTCCATCTTTCCCTCCTTTCCCCATTTCATTTCCCAAGCCTTCCTATTGTTTTCCCTCTCCAGCCTGGCATACACAATGGGCCAGACATTTCCTTTACAAACTGAATTTCCTGTGGAACTCTCAGCTTAGCTGCTGTTTCCATTGTAGAGAAAGTAGAAGCACACATCCTGTCTCACATAGCTGCCCCCCCTCCAGCTCCCTCTCCACACATTCTTCACACACACTTGGGATCATCTGTTGCAGTGTCTTTGCCCACAGTTCAGGTGTGTTACTCCCCAAAGAAATACTTCAAGGGGAAGGATAGTCCAGATCCTTGTTTCTAAGTCAATTCAGGAATCTATGTAGTGGGAGCTGGTTTTCCTCTGTGTGGTGGTTTGGGCACAGCGTGAAAGCAGAGGACAGAATATTTGGTTTTCCATGAATGTGTAATACCTCTGGTTTCAGAGGCAAAGAAAAGGAGAGAGCTGGTAGCATTGGTGGGGGGAGGTCAAACTGTGCTGCTTAATCAGATTAGGACGGATTTCTGCTGATGAATTAAAATCCTGAAAGTAGATACTAGGAGTTTGAGCTTGGCAGGGGAGTTGCTACTTCAAGTAAAACAGGACAAAGTCACAGTTAAAAGTAAGGCTTTTTTTTTTGGAAGAAAAGAGATGGAGGATTTCTGTGCAGCCAGAGGAGTCCCCCAACCTAATTTATCTCCCTTTTTTCCTCACACATTCTCTCTTTCAACCAGCAATGCCAGCAATCAATATAGAGGATCTGAGTGAGAAGGATAAACTAAAAATGGAAGTGGAGCAGCTCCGGAAAGAAGTCAAGTTGGAAAGGCAGCCTGTGAGTACTACTTGATTTGGGGGGGAAAGAACTGCTTTCTTTGTGTTGTCAGTGGCATATCAAAGCCCTGTCATGTTTTCTGCGGGAGGGGTTGGGCTGTGAAGAGGCGTGCCTGCAACAGGTTAGTTGGGGGTAAACAAAGTAATTCAGCAAAGAGACCAACTTGTATCCTTGATGAAACTAAGAACAGCCATGTTGTCTCTGATGTTTAAAAAAGTTCGTGTCTACGGCTACACTCGGGAAAGCTTAAAAACAAGGATCAGATGTTCTAGGTTCAGATAAATAGCAACCAACCTTGCTCCCATCTCTTTGGATACAGGAGCAGAGCAAGTAGAGATCAAAAGTCAGAGCTGGAAAGCAGGAGCTGCCTGATTGTTTTGAAAAGGAACACAAGCTTTATCAGGGAGGGAGACTGGGATGGATTTTCTTGTCTAGCTTTAGAAAAAATGCAGTCATGTAGTCATTTGTGTTTTTATAGACTAGCCCTTTGTTGGGTTTTTGCTCATTTTAACTGGATACCTTTTTAATTATTATTGTGATCATCACTATCTGGTAATTATACTGCTATTGTTCAAAAATAAAAAGTTGCAGCATTGAGTACTCTTTTTCAAGATGATGGCCAGCTTGTCTCTCTAGAGACCCTATTACATTCTGTCTCCCAGTTTGTATTCTGTCTCCACTCTCCTCCCTGCCGACAGTCATGTTCTGTGGCTGGTAAGCATGCACAGCTGGTTGACATCCCTTTAGGGACCTTGCCCCACTCCTGCAAACCAACCTACTAATACCGTCTCTTCTCTGTGGGTGGTGCCATTCTCACTAAATAAGGACCAGCTTTCAGAAAGATGTGTTGGCTGAGGGGTGATGGAAGTCATGCAAACTGAAGGCTGTAGCTTCCTTTATTGAGTCAATCCATCTCATGTTCAGTCTTCCTCTTTTCCTGTTGCCTCCCACTATTCTTGGTATTGTATTTTCCAGTGAGTCTTGTCTTCTCATGATATGTCCAAAGAAAAAGTCGGCCTAGTCAAGTACCCCACTAGTTGGCTGGTCTAACATTAGTTAGTGAGACAACCCTGTACGGACAGCAGATTACCTGTTGTTATAAATATGTCCAAAGAAAAAGTCGGCCTAGTCAAGTACCCCACTAGTTGGCTGGTCTTACTTACTACTTACATTAGTCAGTGAGGCATCCCTCTACGGACAGCAGATTACCTGTTGTTATAAATGATTATGACATGGTATAACCTCCATTTGATAGGAGAGAGACTTGCAACAGTCTGCATTAGCAGTAGAAACAATAAATTGCATATTATTTATTTATAATGCTATATCATGCCTTTCCACCAAATATAGCCCTTAAAGCGTCTCATGATAATAACGTGGATATTAGACAGAGACTGGGATCCAAGTGGCGGCCCTAAGTAGAGTTGACCCATTGAATCAATGGGATTTACATAGGTGTTGGCACATTATTCAATGAGTGCTTCCAGTCTAATTGAGACCAATAGTTGAATAACTGAATTCAGATATTTCAATTATTCATTGAATAATTGAATTCAGTAATTAAATCAGAGTATAAAAACTGTAACAATAGAACAAAAAGCACACCAGTCAACAAGCATCTTCTTTGGGTGCCTTCCAAAAGGTGATTATAGAGCCAGGCAGTTGCTAGCCAGGAGGGCATTCCACAATGATGATACAGTATCACAACTCAAACAACCTTGTCCCATGTATTAGTTGCTGGGAAATGCAAACAAGAGCAAACTGTTGCACCTCTCTCTTTCGGGGCTTTGCAGACATTCACTCAGTTGGTAGGTGTGATATCCAGTCATATTTAGATGTCTTGTCTATATGGTTTGGTAAGTATGTGAACTTTGCAGACATTCACTCAGTTGGTAACTGAGTAGAAGGTAGGTGTGATGTCCGGTCATATTTAGATTTACCAAACCATCTTGTCTATATGGTTTGGTAAGTATGTGATGTGAAAGTGTGAAGGAAAGAAGAGAAGGGTACGACAGAGAATGAGATAGTTGGACAGTGTCATCGAAGCAACCAACATGACTTTTACACAACTACGGGAAGGAGTGGAAGACAGGAGGACCTGGCATGCTCTGGTCCATGGAGTCATGAGGAGTCGGACACGACTAAACGACTATGAAGTATGTGATGGAAGGGGTGAATAAAGAACATAGAATTTTGGTAAGAATGATTCTGATTGGCTGGGAGCGAAGTATGTGATGGAAGGGGTGAATAAACAACATAGAATTTTGATAAGAATGATTCTGATTGGCCGGGAGAGAAACTAGATAAGGAAGGGGAGTATGTGTGAGAGACAGTTCAGTCTTGATAACTTGTGAAGGTCCGTTTAGCAGAGAGGGATCAGGGAGAGGTTGGTTCTGGAGTCTGAGGTTTGAGAGAAAGATCTGAGAAAAAGAGAAGAGAAAGGGAGGGGGGGAATTAAAGGATTATGCTGAAGAAATAGGCCAGGAATAAACAACAGGCCAGGAATAAACAACATTCTTTTTAACACTGTTATTTTAATTAAACTTTATTTATTCAAACTGAGTGGTGTTGGGTTCATTACTTGAGGACTGTACTTGAGGGAGTTGCAAAGGCCTGAGTGAAGGGTATAATATACACATATACTGGAGCAGCTAAAGGTTGCTGGCAGCAAAAGAAGAAGAGAGGAAATAAGTGAAGATTATTGACAAAAACAAGTTTATTCTGTGATGATCTTTAAAAGCTCATTACCTCAATAGTCAAGTGATAAGATAAAGGGAGGTATGATGTTGGTATCAGAGATAAGGGGTGTGACACTAGGCTTGTCCATTGAAAATGGGTAGGCACGGAGAGGAAGCAGGTTTTAAAATACCTCCCATAAATCCCCATCCTATATGGCCAATGACCATGTTGGGTGGAAGATTCTGAGAGTTGTAGTCAAAAAAGTAACTTTTCCAAGCTGTAGCTGGGCTCATATCATTACTGCTTAAAAAAAGCCGATACTTGGAACTGCAAATAGAATGGTAGCCAATAAACATGGAATAAGCTGGAGTCCTGTGCTATATGCAGCAAGCCCCAGTTAATGCATTTAACTAGCAGCTGCATTTTACACATGTCGCTCCTGAGTATTTTCTGTTTAGAGTACACAATAGTAAGCCAGTCTGGATATAATGAGACTGGATTCCTGTGGCCTGGTTTGTTTTCTTGGAAAAGCTTCCAGACTGGTGAAGCAGCTTAAGCTCAGAAAAAGACAGTCCTGGCAAATGAAGCTATTGGGCTTCTGTGGAGAACTCATGCCATGGGAAAGAAGATGCTACAGAGAGATTGTTGTTGGAAGGGCTCATGCTTTCATATAGAGAGTCCTTTGAAACTTGGCAACTCTGCCAGCTTCTCTGCTTCAGCTGGCTTCATTTTGTGATTGGTTATCAGGAATTAAACACTGTTCTAATTGCTCAGACACAATGTGCTGCCCAGGGGAAATTGTGTGACTAAAACACTAATGGGGGGTTCTTTCTTTCTTTCTTTCTTTCTTTCTTCCTTCCTTCCTTCCTTCCTTCCTTCCT